GATTTTGGTAAGCTTATTTTGTTTTTTAAAAGTTGATAATATAACTTGAGAGGATAATACAATAGTACCAACATCTACAAAAACTAAGGATAATTTATAAAAAGCTAAAACAAGTGATTGAAATTATCTTGAAAATCCTTATTTTTGTTATAAATGTGGTTGCAGTACAGATTTTACCTTAGCAGTTTTTTTTCAAAAACTTTCTTATATCGCACGAATTCAAAAATGTCAATGTTGAGGTAACTTTTACAAATTTTATGTGATGCTGGCTTAACAATTCTTAAAATAAATATTTGGTAATGAAATGTATGAGGATGTGAAAAATTTGTTAGTTTCGCTCCAATTAATTGTTTCTGGGAATAAACAAGTTGCGGAAAAAATCAAACAAAATTGCTTAAGAGTTTTTTAGAAGCGGGGAAAAATGATTTATCTTAGGTTAGAGCTGTGGTAGTCAATATTACTTGCAGAGTCTAAAATTTATAGATTTAGTATTCTTTTCGAATTTTCGGTAAATTTCATACCCTTTCAAGAGTTTTTCTCAATGATTTTCTCAATGATCATATTTCCAAAGCGAGAAGAATTAAAGAATTTTAATGCATTTTGATTGCAGTTGTGATATATCTACGAAACAAACAACTACATCACATAGGCTCTAAGTAAATATATATTTTGAATGACTTTTTTTAGATTGGCTACGGAAATTCAACGAAATTAAACTGACCAGGTTGTCAGCTCATTACAAATTTGTGGAAGGTCATCTTCGAGAAATGCGCCTACCTTTCTGTCCTGCTGAAGCTGGTTGTTTCGTCATGATCGATTTTAGAAAGGTAATTCTTTGAGGAGCCTCGACAAAGTATTAGTAAAATTTTGATTTCGTGGGTTCTAAGTACAAGACTAGCAAAATTACAATTATTCATCGCTTTTTGAACCAAAAATACATTGATTTCATAATCTTCATCAATAATTTTATGCGCTCTCACTTTCTAATGAAACTTCTGAAATTAATTTTTGTTGTAATTGTAACCTGAACTATACTTCGTGTTATAACAAATCCTTATAGCATCTGCGATCGCAAACTTTTGCGGACGAGTTGTCGTTATTCCAATCGCTCTGTGATAGAGGAGTGATGTTAACTCCTGGACAGCATGTGTTGTGCCAACAACCAGGATGGATGCGGCTGGTATTCAGTTGTCACAAGAGTGAACTCATTGAAGGTACAATTTTGACTGCATATTTTAGAATTTAATCTTTTAAATTCTCATAATTTAAGGAATCTATCGAATGCGGATGTTTTTCAACATGACAATAGAACGGGAGACTATGAACATTAACTACTAAGGTTAAG